AACCTCCACACTCCCATGTACTTCTTCTTGGTCAACCTGGCCCTGCTTGATGTAGTCTGCACTGCAACCATCCTGCCCAAGGTTTTGCAGAGCCTAGTGTCCAAGAACACCATCTCTTATGGAGGATGCCTCGCCCAAATGTTTGTCTTCACCTGGGTCCTGAGTACTGAACTGCTGCTCTTCTCTGCCATGGCCTATGACCGCTACCTGGCCATCTGCCGGCCATTACACTATGGCACCCTCATGAATAGCAGGGTCTGTGTGGCCCTGGCAACCTTTGTGTGGTTTACAGGGGCTCTCAACTCTTTGGTGCTCACATGCCTGGTGTTGCCACTGTCTTTCTGTGGTTCCAATCTGATTTCACACTTCTTCTGTGAGATCCCATCTGTATTGTTGCTCTCCTGCAGCCCCACCTTCATCAATAATGTCATGACTGTCATTGCAGACATGTTCCTGAGTGGCCTAAACTTCTTACTAACCATGATGTCCTATGGCTTCATCATTGCCAGCATCATGAGCATTCGCTCAGCTGAAGGCAAGAAGCGTGCCTTCTCCACTTGCTCTGCCCACCTGGTGGTGGTCACCCTGTATTACTCAACCGTGCTATATACCTACATCCGGCCAGCTTTGGGATCTGCTGGACTCTTGGACAAGGCCATCACCATTCTGTACACCACTGTAACCCCTTCTCTCAACCCCCTCATTTATACCCTAAGAAACAAGGAATTCCAAGCATCCCTCAAAAAACTCTTATTTTCTCCTTGATGACTCTAAGATTGGAGGAGAACTTTGGAAGCAGCAGGAGAGGGACTAAGAAGTTTCCTTGAACCCTTTTTTATGTATTCCATGACTATTAAGGACATAGACTAAGACATTACCTCAACTGGGTCTAAGTCTTTGTGTAGGGAATGTCTCACTCTGTATTGGATTTGTTAATCTTACAAATATTTTAATAACTCCCACATACTCAATACATTCAAATGTGTTCCTCTAAGTACAGTGTTCTTACATATTGTGATACTTCTGTGACTCACTGAGTCAAATCTCATTGCTAATTAAATCTGGAGTGTAAGTTCTTTAGTGAGCCATGTTTAAATTCCTTGAGCCTCTGCCCTCACAGCCAGTACTAGATTGTCATAGGGTTGAAGAAACCCTTCACCCCTCCCATGCCTCTAGTGGACTCTCACTGTACTGGTTTGATTCTTCTCTCCTTTTCTTGGTCCAGAATACTCCTTGAGGCATAGTTTGTGGCCCAGTTTATCGGAAGGGTACCCACTGTAAAAGAATAGATAGGCTTAGGAAGTTGAGCTGACAATCTCTGATGTCCACTGTACCTCCTCTGATTCCAATATACAGAGAGATCAAATCAGAGTATGACACTGGCATAGTGGTCTCTTCCTAGCCCTATGTCAGGGGTTTGCTCAGTCACAATTCTGACTTAGACCTCAGTGTCTAATGTATTTTGTATGACCTGACTCTGCCTGAAGAGACACTGTTATGCATGTTCAATGCTGTACATAATGTTAACATATGGCATGTCCCACCATAAAAATAACTCTCAAATAAAGTATTTAGGTGATGTGTGCACATGTATGTGGCTATGAGCATTTTTTACACTGTGTGATTGGGTGATTATCAATTCTAGAGCTTACACAGTAGTCATATGATTAATAACAGGAGAAATGGCACAAAAAACATGACTAAAAGATGAAGCAAGCAGTGTGTTTGAAAACAAGAGGACAAACAATACCATGCCAATGATTCACAGATGTGGTAGATTCAGAATCACATAGGAGATTGCTGAAGGATATTTCTGTCTATGCAGGTAGGGGTGTTTCCAGAGAGAATTCACTAAAGGGGGGAAGATCCACTCTTAGTGTGAGCAGTACCATCCTAGGGACTGGGGACTAACAAACACAGGTAAGGGGGCGGGGGAGGGAAAGCCAGTTGAACACAGATGTTTCTCTTCTCTGTGTTCCTGGATGCTATGACGGGAAGAAGCTTCTCCACCATACCCACACCCCATTGCCATGAGGCTCTGCCTTGCAATGGACCAGAAACAAGGATCCAAGAGGCTATGGACTGAACCCTCTAAAACTTTTTAATGTATTTGGGTCACCAGGATGAAAAGTGAATTAATAGCCGGGATGGAAGCCAGACTAGTCTACATAGAGAGTTCAAGGCCAGCTGTGGTTACAGTGAGACTCTGATTTAAAAAAAATTGAATTTCTACAATATATCTGCTTTATATTATGAGTCCTGGCATTGGTACAATATTTAAGGAGGTTTTAGGAATTAAATTGATGAATAATGCATTTAGTGTGAAAAGAATATAGAACTATTTCAGCAGCAATAACTGCAAAACTGTCTTTCAACACTGAGTTGCCTTCCCACTAGTACCTGACCATTGGCCTTAGACTCACTTCCTCTTCCTCTTCCTCTCTTTTTCCTCCTTCTTGTTCTTGTACAGTTTTATCCCTTCCATTTTTGTCTATGATATTTGTTGTTGTTGTTGTTGTTTTTTAATTCCGTGTCCTGGGTTATCTCTAGGGGGTTCTCATTGTAGAACTCCTCTATAGGACTGGAAGTGTTTGGTGGGAACATATTATTTGGGTTTTTCATATTATTATTTTTTCATTGTGATTTTGGCATATGAACTTTTTGCTGTTTGTGATTCTGGTAAGAAACTCAAAATTTCCTTTGTTGAATTGAAGTCTGATTCTGTTTGTATTATTGGTGTGCCTTGGTTGTTTTCTTACTGGGCATGAAAAGCTGATTGATCTATGCTTCAGGTTCTTTCTTTTGATTTTATATTAGAAGAACAAAATAGCTGTAGTCCAGCTGGCCCAAGTCAGGTGCCAGTCGGGTACTCTCAGGCTTCCTCTTGAGGTCTGGGCCCCTACTAGCCAGCAGGCACAGCACAATTTGGGGGAGCTCACTAGGTGGAGGCCCAATTTAGGTACTCTCAGGTAGTCTGCAGAGCTCTGGGCCCCTACTCAGGATTTTTTTTGTTAATTTTTGGTAGGCATTTTTGGATCTTTTTATTACAGGGCTCCCTGTAACCCCAGCTGACCTGGAACTCACTTTGTAGGCCAGGTTGGCCTAGATCTCACAGAGATCCACCTGCCCTTGCCTCCCATGTGCTAGGACTAAAGGTTTACGCCACCAGGCCCATTTTGTTAATTTTTATTTATAGTGTGAAGGAAGAGTTCCATTTCACCCTTTTCATATGGAAACCATTTACTTTTTCCAACACTGCTGAAAAAAATAATCTTTATCTCGCGTTACCTTTTCATCTTTCCTCAAAAATCAACTTAACTCACATGTGAGTTTATGGGACATCAACTCTGCTCCATTAATTGGCACTCTCTGTATGCCAGGGCCACATGTATTCCTACTACAATTCAATAGGAAGCTGTGAAATGGAAATTCTGAGTCACCCAACTGTTTTTCCCAGGGGCCTACACCCATTCTGGTCTCTCATGTTTCCTTATGAATTTAGGATCAGTTTATAAGTATTTCCAAAAGAAGACCTGGTTATTTTTCACAGAGATTACATTGAACGAAAGAGTTTTGCTTTTTGAATATCATCACTGTCACCACTGTAAATCTTCCATTCTGGAAACTGAAATCCCACTTAGATAGACTGTTAATTATTTAATTACTTTTAAAATAGTTTGAGGTTTCCAGTAAATAAAACTTTCTCTTTTGTTTACTTTGTTTTCAAGAATTTTGTTATTTTTGAGGTTATTGTAAGTAGAATTGTTTTCCTCATTTTACTTTTATATTTTATTGTAGGTATACAGAATAGAAATTATTTTTGTATTAGTTATATTTGTTTGCTTTTAACAGTCTTTATTTTTAATTCCTTTGGATTTTGTACATGCAAGACATGCATCTATAAGTACAAATATGTTTTATCCTTTCCAATCTGGACATCTTTCTGTCTTGCTTGGAAACCTAAGCCAATGTTTAATGGAATTGGCATACATAGATGTTGTTGCATTAGTCCTGCTCTTAGGAATCAAAGTCATGGCTTGGGTCTTAAATATACCACTGAATACCCTTGTGTTGAGGATTGATTTCCCAGCCTGTCACTGTCAGGAGGTGGTGGAAGCTTTGAGAGACAAGTCCTGGAGGGATATATCTGGAGGACTTGAAGTGTGAAGGAAACAGTGGAACCCTGTGATCTCCCCTGTCTCTCTTTTGTTCCCTAGCTTCCTACAGATAAGGATCTTAGCTCTGCCATGCACTCCTGCCATGCTTACTCACTTCAGGCTCAAAATAGCAGGGCCGACTAACCATTGACTGGAACCTCTGAAACTTTCCTCTAAGAAACATGCCTATCTGAGATATTTTCTATAATAATGGAAAGCTCACTAACAAGACAGAACTCATGTTTTTAACCATCAAGTACCAAGAAAACTACAGATTTTTTGTAAGGATGTTTTATTCAGTTGGTAGACTTTTTTCTCCCATATTTTTGTTTTGTTTCATCTTTTTGCTGTCTTGCTTTGTCTTTGTATATTTCTTTGATTTTGAGGAAATGTATCATGCTGTAGTTCAGACTGTACTCAAACATGTGGTAGTCCTTCTGCCTCAATTTCCCAAGTATTGGAATGAGGTGTATATACCATGCCTGACTGATGGAGTTCTTTTGTGTTCCTAGTTGTTGAATGGGTTTATTTACTTTGAGGGAGAGAGGTTGTCAGTTTATTTTTAAGTTTTTATTTTTTCAAAATTTCATACATGTATACAATGAAACATGATCATATATACATTCTTTCTTCCCCTCCAACTCCCTCTATATCATCCCAATACTCCTCCCTCTAAACTTCATGGGTATGTAGATGTGGGGCCATTCATTGGAGCATATGAAATGTACAAGTAGTCATATCCTCAACAAAGAATGATTCTCCCTCCCCCAGCATCTATCCACAGTCAATAGCTCCTCTTTATGGGGTGGGGATGGAAGATCATCTATGCCAAGATTTTGTTACCTTGCTCTTCTGCAGGTCTTGTGAAGGCAGCCACAACTGCTGTGAGATCATGATTGTGATATTCATGTCATGCCTAGAAGAAAGCATTTCACATCACTCCTTGCCATCCTCTGGCTCTTATATTCATTCCACCTCCTCTTTTCACGATGTTTCCTGAGTCTTGCTTGTGGTGTGGTTAATATATAAGTCAAATTATAGTGCTGAACATTCAGTCTCATATTCTCAGTACTTTGACCGGTTAATACATCTCTCCATTGACTGCTGCCCATTTCACAAAGAAGCTTCTCTGACCGAGAATAAGAGCAGTCTAAGTCTATTGATACAAACATAAATATTTAGAAAGAATTTTGATAGCATGACCATTTGGCAAAATAAGAATAGCAAGGTCTACCCTAGGGCCTATGACTTCCTCATTCATGGGCTTTTGACCAGGATTATAGTATGAGGACTTAAATTCTCTCCTGTGGAGCAGGCCTCAAATCTAATCAGAAAGTACTTACTCCATAGCAGTTGTGGCATTATTGCACCAGTAGGCATATCTTTCCAGGCAGATTGGTATTGTAGTGTGCAGGATTCAGCATTGATGTCTTTTCTCCCTCAGTAGCCTACATAGCACTTTTTGGCACTATGAAATCTAGCAAGCAAGGAGGAAGTTTCCAAGTAGTTTGAGATTGATTTCTCTATGTCCTGCAGCCAAAGTGTGTGATGTCTTCAGCAATACGGTCTTACCATGATGGGCAACCAAGGGCAATGGCAACAGCCTGCATTGTTTTGGCTTCCTCTTGGGCCTCTGACCAGTAACTCATAGGGAAGTATCTCATGTCTTGTAGTGTGGTTTTCATTTAATAATGAATGTCATCTGGGAGCAACATTGTCCTCACATGCAGAGTAATTCCATTCTAACTCTTTTTTCTTTTCCTTTTCAAATTTATTTTTAATTGAATTTTTGTGAATTTCATACAGCATATTTTGATATTTAGATTCTCCTCTCATATCTGCACCACTTTACTAACCTCTCACAAAATTTCTGAACTCTAATGTACAAAGGCCTATAAAGTCAGGTTTGTGTTCCCAAATGCCATTTGGTGTGGGTTCATCCACTGGAAGCTGGTCAACCTATATTTTAAGTTGCATTTTAAAATTATCTTACTAACTAGTGGGTTTCCATAATATTTTTATACAACCTTAGTTTTATGTCTGAAAAGTAGAAAGGGGCTTTTGGGGACGGGACAGACTAAGGGAGAGGGATAGTAGATTGTGGATAAAATTAAAGTAGTGAAGTGGAATACTGGTGGGAGAAAAGCTTAAGTAGGGAGAGACATGGGGATATGAGAGAAATTGGGTGATGAAGAAGAGGGCAAACCCAAAGGATGTAAATAAGAAAAGCCATATGGAAGTCTATTATCTCACAACCCAAATTAAAAAGTAATAATAATTCAAGGAGTAATATAACACATGTGAAAAGAAAGAAGTGGGGGAATGCTGAGAGTTAAAGAATTAAGCAAAGAAGGGAGTTGAAGGGAGGGAAGGGGAGATAGATGAGTTAACCAAGGATGCTTGTTGAATGGTTTTTATCATGACAGTGTGTTAGATTTTCCTGCATTGTTTCTGTTGGGAGCCTGAGGCTCAGCCATTTCTCAGGGCTGCTGGTGGATCTGAGTTGGTGACTTTCCATTCTGCCCACCACCCTCCCGCAGGTACAGGCCAGAGCCTACAACCTTCCCACGGCCTTGGCTCACAGCTGGGGCTCACAACCTTGGCCCACAACCTTGGCTTACAGCCGGGGCCCGCAACCTTGGCCCACAGCCTTGTTCTCTTTTCCAGTAAATAGCCTTGTTCTCCGTTAATCAGTAGATTCCTCCCTTAAAGTATGTCAGGGCCCCTGTGTTCTGATTGATATGATTACTCATTCTTCACTTCTTTGTTCTCATTCTCTATTTAAACTCATACTTGTGCTTCAATAAATGAGACTTGATCAGAATCCTGTCTTGTCTCCATTTCTCTTGTCCTTGCCTCATTTTCATCCAATCCAGATACTTCGTGGAAGTTCTGCGGGTCGGAACCGAGTCACATTGCAGGGTGGCCTCCCGCAGTTTCTATATCTTCTGATGACCATAAGATTTTATTCTTTATTCAACAGAAGTTTTATATCACTTATTGGTTTCTGAATATTATTCAAACTTTACATTCCTGAGACCAGTCTTTAGCAGTCATAACCCTTTTCACACATTACTGCAGTTTCTTTCTTTATGTTTTGTTGGGGCTTGTGCAATTTGATTCATAAGTGATATTTATGAGTTTTTGCCTCTGTAAGTTTCTCTGCTGCTTTAATATTAAGGCCATGCCAACATCATTGAAGAGAAGATTGCAAGGGATTGGTATTCATTGACTTTTTTTTAAAGATTATACAGAATTTATGGGTGAAAGCACCAGGAAAAAAATATTGTTTTAGTGTTGCCCTAGTTTAGAAAGTTTTAATTGCTACATCTGTTAGAAATCTATTTTAATTCACTATTCCTTCTTAAATAAATTTTACTCTGAATGTTTTGTAAATTTGTCAAATTCTTTAAAGTTACATAATATATTGGCATATATCTCTTCTTGGGATTTCTTGCATATAATTTCTCTAGAATGTCATAAATACTGTTGCCACTATATTTTTATTTATTTATTTTGGCCTTTTTGAGACAGCATTTCCCCATACCCCCAGCTGGCCTGGAACTCACTATGTAGACAAGGCTGGCCTTGAACTCACAGAGATCTGCTTGCCTCTGCCTCCCAAATGCTGGGATTAAAGACGTATGCCACCATACCTGGCCTACCACTTTATATTTTTGAATAACATGAATTTTCTTTCTTGGTTTCTTGGATAAACAACTAAGGGTCTACAATACTGTACAGTTTGTAAGGGAACCAGCTACTGATTGCATGGACTGCCATTGTTTTTATGTATTGCAGCAATGTAGCCAGGAGCTCCACACTAGAGAACACACTCTGTTCTGTGGCACTTCCTCTGCACAGCACTCAGGAGAGGAGGACCCTTTAATAAAGAGAAAACTCTCAGTAGTCACCCAATCCATCAGGCTTTGTTCCACTGGTCATGTTTTGTATTTGGAAAAAATGTCACTCAAAGAATCACTATATGCCCAACACCCTTACTACAGACTCTAAGCACCAAACCTACAATCTTCTACCAAAGGGTCCTTCAGACTCACATCAGGAAAAATTACCAAAGACCCTCTTGAACACCCTATGACCTTCCTACCAGCCTGAAGTCCCGTTAGGCAAATTCCCATGACTGCTGGTATGAGTAACCTCCTTCCTTGGAAAGTGCAGCATCTCAGAGCTAGTGTTACAAAACACCAGACAAATCTGTGACCTAAAATCACATTACTTTGTCAATCATAATTTTGGTAACAAACTCCTCAGTCAGTGCCTCCACGGGGCCCTGTTTCCCTCTGGAGTCTTAGGGAGAATATGTGTATTCCTATCTGATGTAGATATTATTCAATTTCATTGCTTGAAGGTGCTTTACTTCAGGCTGTGCCTCTGCCCTCCTTTAACATCCTTGCTGTGGGTCTTGGGCCTTTGTTTCTCACAAGGATCCCCTTCTTATGGATAAGGCCCTCTCATGACTCCTCTTAACTCATTACATTTTCATTGAGCCCAACTCCAAAAAGAGAGTACTTTCCTCCAGATACTAGGCCTGCAGCACACTTGTGGGAAATATAATACAACCCATAATGGAAAGGAAAGAGCATCATAAATAGACTAAAAGAAACAAGTAAAGCTGAAACCAAGAGCTTTTGTTGGAACCTGGAGGTGGATGTTTGAGTCACTTTATATGAGACCAGAGGAAAAGCTCAGTGTTTGGATATGGAGTGGTCTCACCACATGACCTGAGGTGAGAAAGTAGACAAAGGGACATTTTGGGAAAATAACATTGAGGGGAAACATGAAGTTGTACCATATGAAGGGTCTTGAAACCTTAAGGTGATACTGACAGAAAGGAGAGAGGACTACGAGTCCTGGACTCTGATGTTAACTGTGGCAATATATTGTTCATATCCTAGAGATATTGGAATTAGATGCAGGAAATCCTAAAATGGAGAGCCTCTGCCAGGCTATAATATAAGTTGTGGTCTTATAGTTGCATATGATACATTTAGGGGGCGAACCAAGTTACCACAAATATCTCAGATAAAGCTTCAGATTCATTCACTCATGGGATATGGAGCTAACAGAATGGCAATGGCCCTTACACCCTCAAAAAATGACTGTCTATCTTCTTCCATGGATAAGTGGTAGTAAGTGGATAAACATTCATCTCAGAGACACCAGCATCACAACATTACAGGAACTAAAGTGTGGTCAAAGTGAATAGACACTCTACAAACATGTAGTTTAAGTTGAAACTAGGTAAAGGCAGTGGGAAGTTGTGCTGGAATATATCCTGGCTTAGTAAAGTCCAGACAGAATGAGGAGTTACTGGAGAGACCAGAGAGCCAAGCTACAAAAGGAGTAGTGATATGTCATTTTTGCCTGATGAAGAAAGACAGAGGGTTAGCCTGTGGAGAACTTTGAAGAATAGTGCCTGAACATGTACTACAGGATGAACAGGGTGGTGGAACTAATACTAACAATGTGAACGTTGGGTCATTGAGGAGCACTGATAATAGCCTTTATGAATGGACTTAGAACAATGGAAGCGGGGGAAGAAGCTGCAAGGCAAAATCTGTGATGAACAATTGGGCTTTTTAATTTCACTCTGGAATGGCATAAAGGTTCCTAAGAGAGAAGTAAAGTACCAGTCAGTATCTGGGGTGGTGGTTCCATGGATTGGACATCTATTGAATGCCCAAAGATAAGAATGGGCCAATTATAAAAGCACAGCAGAATCAAGACTATGTGTTCAGTCCTTACATCAGAGGATGCTTTTTCTAAAATATCAATAGGTAGATTCCAGTTGCATGAGGCTTCTCTCATGAAAGCAGGTGTAGGGACATCCCAGGTAAGGAGAAAAACCTGCACATCCACACTTATTGTCAGAAGGAAGGCAAGAATCTCCGCAGGGCTTCCTGAACATCCTTATTCCTCAGTGTGTAGATGAGGGGGTTCAGGGTGGGGCTCAAGACTGAGTACAGCACTGCAGACACTTTACTTCTCTCTGAACTGTAGCTGGAAGCAGGACTGATATAGGCACAGAACACAGACGAGTAGTACACAGAAACCACAATGAGGTGAGAAGAGCAGGTGGAGAAGGCGTTCCGTTTCCCTTCAGCAGAGCGCATATGCAGGATGCTGGTGATGATGCAGCCATAGGACAGCAGGGTAAACAGGAAGTTGATGCCTCCATAGAAAGCATCTGCCACAAGAGTCATGATGCTGTTCACATGTGTGGGGCTGCAGGATAGCAACAAGAGTGGGGGTATCTCACAGAAGTGGGTGACAACCTTGGGGCCACAGAATGATAACCGTGTCATCAGACCAGTGTGGACAGAAGCATTCAGTGCACAGATGGTCCACACACCCATGGCTAGGGCCCCCCACAGCTGTGGGCACATCCAGGAGCTGTAGTGCAAGGGAAAGCAGATGGCCACATAGCGGTCATAGGCCATGACTGTGAACAGCAGCAGCTCAGAGGATGCAGACCACACAAGGAAGAAGAGCTGTGCCATGCACCCCTGGAAGGAGATGGTGTTTTCCTCAGAGGTTAGGCCAACCAGGACCTTGGGCAGAACAGAAGAAGTGCAGAAAATGTCCATGGTGGCTAGATTGCCCAAGAAAAAGTATATGGGGCTATGAAGCCCAGTGCTGCAGTTGATCAAAGCAGTGATCAAAGTGTTACCCATTAGAGCCATTGTATAGAGTTACAGAAAGCAGCCAATCAAGGGCAGTCGCAAACTGGGGTGCTCTGAGAACACTTGCAGCATGAACTCCATCACTGTTGTCTGGTTGGGACTCAACATCAGAATGGAGCATCCCCAGCCCACTGCGGGATCTGTAGATCTCTGAGAAAAGATTACGGTTAATCACTTGAAAGTTTTATTTTCAAACATGATCATCTTAAAACATTTTCTACTGTCAGAAAGGAAGGAGTAATTTGCTTCCTCCATGGAAGCCTCTTGTCCCTCATGCTGTGCCCCACACCATTTTGGAAACCACTTGTATTTCTTTTACTTTTCATTTTCCACCTAGAAAAGTTCACCATGTATATTTGGATCAAGGGGGACACCTATTCCTTCCTTGTTTTTTAAAATATGTGAACTAAATGTAGCTTCTCTCACTCAGGACCTGCTTATGCTTCATTCTCTCCATCACATCCAAATACTGTGTCCTGTTGTCAGTGCTATGGAGACACAGCTTTACTCCTCACATTCACAGCAGGTATTCTCTCCACAGTGTCAGTGGAAACCTCCCTTCAAATTATTGGTTGGGGTAGTCCAGGAGACTCCTAAAATAACTCAGGCTGTCACCACAACCCTTGATTGCCCCCCGGAACTTGAAAGTAAAACCCTATTGCTGAAGACAAGACATACTTTGGACATAGGACTTGGAGAAATAGAGCTCAGACTGACCTGGAAGCCTCCTCTCTGAAGGTTAGCTCCCATAGTATCAGAATATACTATTCAAAATGCCAAGGGAGAAAACCAGTCAATGATCCCATCCAACTGTAAAATCTATGAACTATAACAATGACCAGCCCAGTAAATAATCTCTGCTGGTGCAGTAGTGACACTTTAAAAAAATTTATTTATTATTTTTGTTTTATGTGTATGCGTGTATTTCCTGCATGTAGGTAAGTGCATCCATGTTGTGCAATGCCCACGGAGGTCAGAAGAGGCTGTGGGATCCCCTGGGACTGGAGTTATGGACAGTTCTTAGCTGTCATGTGGGTGCTGGGATTCAAACACGGATCTTCTGCAAGAACAACCGGTGTTCTTAACCACTGAGCCATCTCTCCAGCCCCCCGTAGTGACACTTTTATCTTGGGGGTAATTAACACCTGTCTATTTGGACTTAAGCCTATTCAGCAGTAGGGAACTCATTTGTGGTACTGTAAACACAGCCAAATACACATGGGTGGAGATCATAGATCCTGCAGAAAAATCCACTTTTGTCAAATCCCTAGACCAGCATAATTTCTTACTATATTCTAAATGTTTATCCTTATATTTACTGATAGGTGTATCTCTCAGCAGTCATCCAAAAAGTTTCTTTTTGCAACAGATGGAGACTATTACAAAGTTCTACAATGAGTCAAATGCAGAAAATAAATGTCTGTGAGGTACCTAGCCCTATGTGACACATCTACAATACAACCTCTACACCTAAGGCTCAGGGAACATAATGGAGCAGGAGGAAGAAAGAATATTAATGTATCTCTCAATTCTTAACAGTGATGCTTCCTCATACAAGTTATGGCAACTAACCCGGAAAGTCACAACTGGCCAAAGTGCAGAGAATAAGAGATTACAGAGTGCATGTCCCTGGGTAGGACACATATATCTGCCACTCAAGGCTCTCAGACCATAGCAATAGTAACATCATGCACAAAACCCTTCCAAGCTCAAGCCAGACAAAACCCCAGCATAGAAGTAGGGAAGTGAGTAACTGATAACTACTAGTTGAGGGAGAGTTGGTTTTCTTTAAGGGTGTGACATTAGATAGGTTAACCAGGGTCTAGCAGATGGACACATACTGAAGATCATTTGGAGACACAAACTTGAGTCATTTGACCTTAATATATATGACAGAGTACATGAAATCTGGCAGAGGGGGTAAGGTGCTATGAGAGGGGTTCAGATGGGGGGTGGTTCTAAATATGATCAAAATATATTGTATGAAATTCACAAAAAAATCAGTTTAAAAAATACATGCTGGTGAACCCAAAATACTTCTATGGATTTTCTGTCTCCATGAACCAGGTGCATCAGATTCAACACATTTACAATTGAAGTTTTTGCTGTTATCTAGTGTGTTCCTGTGTGATTTTAATCATCTTGCAGCAAAGCTCACACTCAGCCCCCAGGTGTTTCAAGATGCTGGCTCTGTGGAGCACAGCTCCATCTCTCTGACTCATTGTTAGCCTATACCCATGAGAGACCCTCAGTAAATATCTGTTCCATGAACCAAGGATGGTGTTCCACATCCTCTTACCTCTCTCATTCAACTAGTCCTCAAAGCCTAAAACTATAGCTTTCCAAACATATGTTCCCATTTTGTGTATCCATCATTTCTGGCTTCTTGTCATTTCCAATATGTCCCATTTTCTACCTTCAGAACCCACTTAATCCAGAGTGAGCACCTTAATATAACTGACCCTCTGTCCCCTAGTTCAAATTTACTGTCATTATCCTAAATTCTCTAGTAAGCCAAGCTCTTTCAGATGGAAGGCCCATCTAAAATCACCCAGTGGCCTTTCATGTAGGTTTGTATTGGTTACTTTTCTATCGCTGTGATAAAACACTGTTATCAAGGGAACTTATAGGAGAAAGAGTTCATTTGAACTTACAGTTCCAGAGGGATCAGAGTCTGTCATGGTGGGGAAGCATGGTGGCTGGAACAGAAAGCTAAGCACTCACATCTTCAAGCAGGCACAGGAAACAGAGAGAGATTAGAAATCTCACAAGGTTTAAGAACTCTCAAAACCCATCCCGTCATGTGCTTCCTCCAGCATTGCCACACCTCCTAATGTCTCCCAAGACAGCACCACCAGCTGGGGGGAAAATGTCCAAATACTTGGAACCTATGGGGGACATGCTCATTCAAACTACCATAAGGTTCCTCCACAAGTTCATCTGTGAACACACTCTCCCCCATCTATAAACTTGTACATGCCAATTCATGGCACTGTTACTTATGTGAAAATAGCCTTTGCTTTCAGTGCCCAAAGTAAAAGGCTCTTATCCTTCATGACAGAGCACATCCATGACATATTAGTCAGTGAAGTTGCTCCCAGCCCTACTGAATACAGTGAAACTCAAGACTTTCCCACTTTACCCTACACCAACCTTAAACACACCATTTTCTTTCTATTAAATTTTGTCTGATACAACTTTTCCATAATTGGGCTCACAACCTATTTTCTCCCCAGCTCAATAATAAATTTTGAGTTAGTTAAAGATTATAGCTGCCCCCATCTCAAACTGGAGATAATTATGTATCATATTTAGTCTATGCACCAATGCTATCATTTGCATGTACATATATATGTATATGTATGTAGGTATGCATGTATGATGTGTACACTCTTGATTCTATTTCTCTAGAGAATCTTGTCTAATATATACGTTGGCACTACAAGTGGCTCCACATAAACAGAATTGCAATAATGAATTCCTCTAATGGTCTTGGTGTTTTCTGGAGCTGACTTTGTAATTCAACCTTACCTAAAACTGTGAAACACCCTTCTAATATTATGGAAAGTACTGACAATTCAGGAGTGATATTAACTTCTAACCACAGGATGCACCTGCCTCAGTTCAGAGAGAGTTTTAATCAATATGAACCATAGACTAATCTGGAGGAAAAGTTCTAAAAATTATTAAAATCTGTCAAAAAACTATTTTTTATGTAATATAATTATCCTCATTACAATAGCATATCCATAAATCTATAACTACATTTGAAAGCAAGTAATAGATTCCCAAGCAACACATTTAAGAAGAAATGATGAAATATATTTAATAATTGAATGATTTTTTAAAAAATCACATCATTTCAAACAGTGGTCTACATAAAGAAATACTTAGAAACAGATGTATAGATCTGATCTCTATCAAAAAAACTATATTAGAAGAAAAGAAAGGCTTTAAATCATTAAGGAACAAAACAATTAAATACAAAGTAGTAAAAGGAAATAGGGTAAAAGCAGAAAGCAATAAAACAGAAAACAAACCCCAGAGAAAATAATCATGTTTGCATACTGATCATTTAGAAAGTTTTCAAAATTGATACTAGTCTGGAAAATTATAAAACTACTAATGAAAAGTTGCCCAAAACATTCAACAATATGAAAATAACTTTCTTGATTCATAAAGGTTTTATCCCAGGAGTGAAAAGTCCATTTAGCATAAAAAATGATTTAATGAATTGGAACTAAGATCCACCAACGATGGTCTACCACAAATGCACAAATTCCAAAAGTTGTTTGTACACCAACTAACCTTAACAAGAAGTAAAGAAGCTGTTGAGAGACCGTGGATTTTAGTACAATATAAAACATGGTAGAATGAATAAGGCAGAGAGGGAAAAACTCCTCATGGACAGAGAGACAACTTTTGCTTGAGAGAGGGAGAGAAGTTAAGCCGGCTCTTAAACTTGGACTCGGTACCAACCCTGCATGACTGAAATTCAATGCTGATCAGAGCCATATGATCATGATTCTGAGCCAATACTCAAAGGCAACACATACTAGAATCACATCCAAGGGACTGTCTTCATCATTATTCCCTTTCCCCTAACTACTGTGCCCTGGCCCCTTCCCTTCTCAGGTCTAAACAATATAGAAATCTATTGCACCAACCAGGGAGCAGACAGGAAAGTTAGCACAGACTTTACCTTGGAGCTCAAAGGCAGGTCTGCTCAAGTGAGACCTAGCACCAAAAAGAAATAATTGGCCTTATTCTCAGGCCACAAGCCCCACATAGAACTTCTAGGCCTGCCCAGACATCAAGCAGAGACATGTGCATAAGACAGACTTGTGTTTTTCCTTACATCACTGTCAGCTTTAGAGTGGCTGTTAGAAGAAAAAGCAGAAAAAAAAGACATATAGGATACCACTAAATGAAGAAATTTTCAAATGTTAAGACTTTAAAATGAGGGGAAAGTCATAGAAAACCTACTAAATGAAATAATCCCTATAAATACTTTGATTTTGGAAGAGATGGACAGCCAGGAACAAGAGGTTGGTAAGACCCCAGGTAGACACAATAAAAAAAGCTCTTCACCAGGCGCCTCATAGTTAAGC